CGCCCAGCCCCGTGCTTACTCTGCAGACAGCGGGCTGCGGCCAGGCAGAGGGCGAGGAGTCCCAAGGAGGTGCCGCGGTGCTTCCTCTTGCGTCTCGGCAGAGGCCTCATGAGCAAGCCCGGGGCGACACGGGCCGGGCATGGGTTTCCTGGAGGCGCGGGCCTGGCTGTGCGCTGTCTCTGCCGCCGCTCCTGCCCGCCTCCTCTCTCCTTCTCTGGCTCCTGCAAGTCCCCTAGGGCCAGATGCAGATGAGCTGGTTGTACTCTGGTTGAGCCAGTTCCCTAGGAGTTGGAAAGAGAGAGGAAGAGAGAGGGACAGATGGAGGGAGGGAGAGGGAGAAGGAGAGAGAGTGAGGGTGGGAGGGAATCATTAACTAAGCAAGTCATGAAGATTCAAACTATTAAGCATTGGAAAATCCTATGTCCTCTAACATTTTATCTTGAATAATTTCAAAACTGTAGACAGAGAGAAGCAGCGGGAATGCACACACCTAGAGGTAAATAATGGCAGATAAAGAGCAATCTCCTTCCGTTCACACCCAGTTTACTGGTATTGATTCAAGATTCAGCTGGTTACTGGGTGGCAGGAGAGAGAGAAAGTACTAGTTATTGCCTGAGGACAGAGAGGGACCACCTAATGGTTACACTGGAAACGAGGTTTTAAAGAAAGTGAAATGACAGCCTGGAGAGAGAGGAGTGAGAAGAGGGGGACGAGGGAGCCCCAGGCTCGCTGCTCTGGGTGGAGCCATTGGATAGTGATGATATACATCCATCGCCCGTTCACCATCCATCCATCTATCCACCATCCATCCATCCACTCATTTATCCATCCACTATCCATCCACTATCTATCCACCCAAACTTCCACCATCCATCCATTCACCATCTACCATCCATCCACTTACCCATCCTTTTCTCTCCTTTCCTTCTTTCTTTCTACTCTTTTCTTTAACAAATATTAATTAAGTGCTTACAAGATCCCACGCTTGGCGTTAGTTTGGTTGAGGCAGTGAGAGGGTCATAGAGAGGAAGACTAGAAAAGTAGATTGGGACTAAAATTTGGGTAGTCTATATAATGAATACTGAAGACACTATTTTTGTTAAAAGGATATAATTGAAGATTCACACTTAATATGAATGTTGGCTCCTCCTCTGCAATCTTTGGCAAATAACTCAAGTATTTGGTAACTCTTCTCACCAACCACTCTGGAAAAGAAACGAAACCCATCAATGTTTATTTTCTCAAGATCTTAGGAGCTATTCTTCTCTTCCAAGAGAAGCAAACGATGTGTGTTTATAGTGCCCTGCCTTAATGACAGCTGTAGATCTTCATACAATTCTCATTTTTGAGGACAGTCCTTGTTTTAAATATGCTATTCAATTGTTCCTGTAAGTACATATGAATTTGTGGGACCATATGTCCTGGTGTTTGGTTCTGAAAAATTGATCACCACATTTAGATGACATATAACAGTATCTTTCAGTGGATTATGTGATTATGGGTGATTTTTAAAAAACGAACATAATCTATATACAATAGAATGTACAGATTCTTAATGTCTAGTTCAATAAATTTTAATAAATGTATACACCAGTGTATCTGCCATCCAAAATAATAGCACATTTCTATCATCTGAGAAAGTTCATTCCCTTTCCAGTTAGTCTCCCTCCTGCCCTTGTCTCTCACCCAGTCAGTCCCACACCACCACTGTTCTCATTTTTATCACAGTAGATTGGTTTTAATGACACGGAAGGATGGCCCTCTTTTTCAGCATGTCACAAAGTTGGCAATCAAGGTCGACTGGGGCAATTTGTCTATTTTTGAATTTCATATTCTTTTGCATTTGGCTTCTTTCGCCCAACATAACATTTTAGAGATTCATCTGTATTTTGCATGTGTATTCCTTTAAATTGCTGAGTAGTAGTCCATTGTATTAATATGCCATGACAATTTATCCATTTTCTTATTGATGAGCATTTGAGTATTTTCCAGATTTTGGCTATTGTGAATAAAACTGCTATGGATATTTATGTTTTTTTCTTCATGTGATCACAGGTTTTCATTTCTCTTGGGTATATACCAGAGTTGAATTGTGGGATCATAGGGCAGATATATGCTGAACTTCATGAGAAAAGAAAAGGGCAGTTTTCAAAGTATTTGTAGCATTTTACACTTCCACCAGCAATGTATGAAAGGTTCGGTTGCTTCTACATGCTTGTTAACAATTGGTCAAGTCAACTTTTTAGCCAGTCTTGTAGGTATGAAGTGGTCAACCTTAACTGTGTTTTATTTTTGGAGAAAAATCCCTCATTAGCCTGGTTTCAAGTTTGTCTAATAGATAATTATCCTTCTCCCCACGTGTCCTGTGTTCCATTAGAACCGGACTTTCCTTGTGCCCTTAACCACCCATGCTCTCCTGACTCTGTAATGGCAGAAGATTGAGGGGGAGGAGTTAGGAATGAAGAAGGAGGAAGGAGGGGAGAAAGACAAAAACACAGAAACGGAGACAGATACAAGAAGACAGAAAAAGGCAGAGCAGCAGAGAGATGGAACGAGACGAGAGAAATAGTGAAGCAAAGGGAGTAGGTACCAGATTGAGGAAAGGCAAACAATGAGAAAGCAGGAAAATTGATAAAGAAAGAGAGTAAGAGGTGTGTGGGGGTGAGAGAGGGAACAAAAAAGAAAGAGAAGAGGGGACAAGGAAGGGAAGGGAAGATAGAGATTGGAGTTGAAGGAAGAGAGAAGACCAAAGCAAGGAAGAGAAGCCAAATCCTTCCTATGCTACCCAGCAGGCAGCCTAGGAATGGCCCATGACTGGAGGGAAATGCATTTGCCAGCAAGATCTGTCTCTGTTCTTGGTGGGCTGATGTCCAAAAAGCAGAGCTGAGTTGTGCTGAGAGCATCCCTCATTAATATCACAGGCTCCAGCCAGCCCAAATGGCTTCTTAGCCTTGTGCGCTCCCAAGAGATTAGAGAGCTAACATGTTGATTGGGGAGGTGCCAAGCTGTGTTCACAGAGATGGCATCTCCCTGGGCCAACTTGTGGTCTGATGCTAGACCAGGGCCTAGAGGCTGCTGAGTCATCTGGAGGGTAAGGAGTAGTTTGTTTGGGATAATGGAAACACAATGAATCCAGTTTTTTCTTTTAGGCCTGACCAGGGTGACAAGCAGCCCCTGTGAATATAGTTAACGGTCACAGAGAAGCCATGTATTATTAGTCAGTGCTTTTCCAGTGGCAAGTGATAGGAACCCATTTTAATCTTGTTTAAAAAAAGAAGGGTCTCTGAACATGGCAGAGGGCACAGCCACCTCTGTTCCTGTTTCAGGGCCTATGACTGAGGGTTGTTCAGGTTGTACAGTGATATAGTGGCAAAGAGTTCTTTTAATTTGAAGAAAGGTGCTTTTTCCTAATTCATGCAAAGGTACTATGTATATGACTACGAAGACCCTGGCCAGTCTTTTATCTTCATCTCTCGGCTCTGCTCTGTCATTCCCTTCCAACGGAGAGGGGCTCTTCTACCTACCTGGGTCAATGATGGCTCACCCGTGAAAAAGTGATGCGTTTTTGGAAGGTACCCTTTTATGGGCTACTGGCAGTAACAACCAAAACTTGATCAGCACTTTGAAAGTGTTTCCCAGTTTATTATCTTGTTTAATCCTTAGAACCATCCTGAAAGGTGGGCATTTTAATTTCCGTTTAATAGTGAGGAAACAGAGGCTCAGAGACATAAAATGACTTGCTCAAGTTTACCTGGCTTTCCTTAGCTCAAGTTCAAGACTGCTGACTTCAATCTGGTTCTCTTTCCCCTGACCATAATTGCCTCCCCTGTTGGCATCTTTGAAGAGTGGGTTTTTGTAGTGTTTTGTGGAATATTTTGTAGTGTCTGGTCAGATTAAAATTTAGGGAGCTAGAGAAAAAGAAAATAGGCTCAGAAGAAAAAGTGTTTATATGGATATACTGGATTTTCTGTTTATCAATGGATAACATATTTTCTTCTATGAGGAACCATACATAATTCACTCAACAAATCTTAGTTCTCATTAAATTAGTTTTCATGTATTCTTTTAATTCAGAAATTAGTATAAGTCCTAATAAATAATTATATTTCTTCTTACTAGATTTGAAGAAACTTGGGGGCATATATGTGTGTTCCTGGTTCCTGTTAAAATATTTTGGGCAATAAGTATTGCTGAATGAATGCATTTTCTCCTATTCTTAGAATCTAGAATCCTTTCCTTTGGAAACTACATATTTAATACCTTGAATACCCACCAGGTGGCGTTGCAAGATTGCCTACTGTAGGTCGCAATTGCTGAAAAAGAATTCTGAGCTCAGAGACAAGGAGCTGAAATGTGATTTTTGGTTTAAAAGAAGAAGAAGGGAGACAGAGAAGAGAAAACATCTTTGGTCTTGGCATCCTTTGCATTCACAGTTGAGCCATAGTATGAGATCTCCCGTGGTTTTACGTAGGCATTTATGACTCCTTCATATTTGATGCATTTTCTAACTCCTCCAGGTCAGGGGTTCTCCTATCCCTCTTTGTACTCAATACAGGCTGCAACACATAGCAGGAATCTGATAAATTCTGGTTGATCTGAGATGGCTAGCTCTGTATGAAAGCTGACCCCCACAACTCTTCCATGAATTAGGCTTCATTCCCCCCCATTCCCTTCGTGGTTGATGGCATCTGCAGCCCTGGCATTGTGGTTAAATTCTCAGAGCCACTCTGCTGCCCAGCAATCCCCCAGTTGAGTCTCATTCCCTCCAGTAATTGTGTCAAAACTTCAGTTCTTTTCCTCAATCTTTCCTCTTCTTCCTTGCTACCTCTCCCTTTCAGGAGATTACCCCTCACCCCCCAATTCGCAGATAAAGTAACCTTTGAACTTCCTCCTATTCCCATCTTATCCTCCTCTGCTCTCCTCCTGTGATGCTGGAAGTGGTGCCTTTTATTTTGGTCAAGAGGAATTCTATCCACCCACAGTTTATTAACTATTACTATGTGCTAGGTTCTAGGAATACAATAGTGAGTAAAACTGACAAGGTCTTATAGAAGAGACCGCTGCTTATTGATTGAATAACCAACCTGCTAGATTAGCGGCCCCCAACCTTTTTGGCACCAGGGACCAGTGCTCCTATGAGAATCTAATGCCTGATGATCTGAGGCGGAGCTGAGGCAGAGATGTTAACGCTGGGGAGCAGCTGCAAAAACAGATGAAGCTTTGCTCACTTGCCCACCACTCACCTCAGGCTCCTAACAGGCCACGAATTGGTAGGTCCACAGCCCCAGGGATTGGGAACCCCTGATTTGGAGTATTTCAAAGCCTCAGATATCCATAGTCTTTGGGAAATTGGCC